TAATTGTAGTTTTAACTTATAATTTGGACCTATTTACTTTTGAACTTCGGGAATTAGTGAATGCAGCTCTCAATCCCCCAAAATTACAAGCTCAATGCATTTTAGTCCTTTTGTCAAGTGATCACAATGTATGAAAGAACTAACTGGTAATGAATTTGTTATTTTCAAAATTCAACTTTTGCTTTAGCTGATTTCATTTTAATATAAGATTTATAGAAAAATTGTATTATTTATTAGTCATGTATAATATGATTCACTTCATATAAGATCTGATGGATTTTTTTTTTTAAAATACATTTAATTCTGATAGATCTTGATAGTGCTTAAATTTTTATTTCGCAGGTTCTTACCTTATGTTGGCTGGGTGACTATCATTATGACTGAAAAGCCTATCATCAAGGTGTCTTACCAGTGCCGATCCTCATTGAACTTGATTTATACTTGCTTATATATCGGAATTATGTAAATTTTGAATGGTCTGAAATTAGGTTCATGAAATTTCCCAGTTCGCTAACCTTGTTTGGTTTTGCTTGCAGTACATTCTAATTGGTGCTTTGGGTTTGCTGGTAATAACTTCAAAAGAATAAAAGATTGTTATTGTAAGCAGAGCCGGCACCTCCTTTAGGGTGTCAATGTCATATTGGATTATCCTTTGTATCATTTGACAACTTAATGTTATGAATTAATCCAAAGTAGTGAATTTTGACTTTTATTTTTGTCCTAATGTATGCCTTGATGGACTAATATTATTACCAATTTAAGGAACATGGAATGTCACATGCAGAGGAAGAATAAAAAATAATAACGAAACAAAGGATGTATCGTTATAACTATACAATATTAATAGAAATCGGTCAAATTATGATTCTTGATCCTACCATTTCTGCTTTACATTGTGCATATTCAACCTTTAATATTGGCTCGGGCTACCCCTAACACATGCTGCATTGCTGCTTCATTTTGCCCCTTGACAGAACTCTTCATATCCATTGGTGGAATCAGTGCCCTCCGTTAAAAAAATTAATCATTCGGTCCTCATAATTTGGTTACAATTTAGTCCAGGTCTAGGTCATTCGATTCTTTTAAAGTTTTTATCATTTAATCTGTTGGTCACTGTGCTTCTAGAAAATTAAGACGTCTGCGTTGGCAAAAAAAGAAACAGAAAATTAAGATGCATGGAGACTAAAATAACTAGTAATACTTGAAACATTAAATTGCACCAAGTTAATAGTAAAGGATTAAATTGCAAGAGGCTAAAATTGTGAGAAGTTACTTCACTCCGCCAAAATTTGTGAGTTTCCTCCTAATAAGAATTGATATAATTAGTAAGAAATCAGTTTATAATTCATAAAATTGTAAATTCGATTCTCGCTGTTCCTGACAACAAAATCTGGTTTCACCTTTCAATTCTTGAAGTATCGTGTATGCTCTCAAAAAAAATAAAAACATCGTTTGATGTAAAAAAAATTTTCCGATATGCATAAAATTAATTTTTTTAATTGTTTTTAAGGATCCCAAACGCCCCCAAAATCTAAACCAGTTCTTGGTGCAAGATGGGCAAATTAGCAATGACCTGGGTTTGAGTAACATTTTGCAGCTGGCTTGCTTGCCTGGGAACCTATGTGGCTATGTTCTAGTCCACGAGGTCCGCGCCTAGCGTCACTTCCGCCATTTTTTTGATACATCATCCCTTCCGCTTTTGGAGTGAGTAGATTTCTGAATCTTTGACGTGAGATTCTGCAAATACTCTGAAGTACTTAACGAAAGAGCTCATGTAAGAACAGCGTACAGCATTTGAGCTCACAAATGAATACAATATTCGAAGTTCAAACTTTTCCTCGTTCGTTGTTCAGTCCCAATGTCGAAAGCAATTCTTTCCCTAATCAAAACCCGTCGTCACAACGCAAAAAGACCTCTTTTAACCCTATGGCCTTCACGCCTCGTATCAAGAAGCTTGTTTTCGACGCCGTCGACATCCTTAGAACCCATGAGGAATGGGAAGATTCCCTCGAAACCCACTTCGCAGAATCCGGAATACTCGTTTCCGATGTTGCGCATTTCGTTTTGGATCGAGTACACAACGCAGAACTGGGTTTGAAGTTCTTTGATTGGGCTAACAGAAGACCGTACTCTTGTTCCCTAGACGGGACAGCATATTCTTCGCTTCTGAAACTTTTGGCGAGGTTTAGATTGTTTTCAGAGATTGAATTGGTGTTGAAGAACATGAAAGTGGAGAACATAAAGCCCACCCCTGAAACATTGAGCTTTATTATTTGGGCTTGCGGAGATTCTGGGTTGGCTGATAGGGCTCTCGAGTTAGTTCATACGACGCGTGAAATGCATAATTGTTATCCTAGTACCGTGGCTTGTAACTCATTGCTTCAAGCTTTAGTGAAACATGGGAAAGTAGAAATTGCACGTCAATTGTATGATGAAATGTCTGGAAGAGATGAGGGCGAAGGTACCATTGTGGATAACTATAGTACCTCTATCGTGGTGAAGGGCCTTTGCAATGAGGGAAAGGTTGAGGAAGGTCGGAAGTTGATTGAAGACAGATGGGGAAAGGATTGCGTACCAAATATTGTATTTTACAATACAATTATTGATGGTTACTGCAAGAATGGCAACCTGAATGGTGCAAACAGAGTTTTCAAGGAATTGAAATTGAAGGGATTTTTGCCCACATTAGAAACTTATGGGGCTATGATTTATGGATTTTGCAAGTCTGGGGAATTTGAAGCGGTTGATTTGCTTCTGACAGAAATGACTGAAAGGGGATTGAAAGTGAACGTGCAAGTGTATAATGAGATTATTGATGCTAAATACAAACATGGCTTGGTAGATGAAGCAGTTGACACGGCGAGAAGGATGATTGAGAATGGATGTAAACCAGATATTACAACTTACAATACTCTGATAAACTGTTCATGCAGGAGTGGGAGACTTAAGGAAGCTGATGACCTCCTTGAGCAGGCAAAAAAGAGAGGATTGGCGCCTAATAAGTTTAGTTATACTCCCCTCATGCATGCCTATTGCAGACAAGGGGATTATGTTAAGGCATCGAATATGCTTGTTAAGATTGCTGAAACAGGAGATCAGCCTGACTTGGTTTCTTATGGAGCTCTTATTCATGGAGCTGTTGTTGCAGGGGAAATAGATGGTGCGTTGATGATCCGAGAGAAGATGCTGGAAAAGGGAGTATTCCCTGATGCTCAAATTTACAATGTTCTGATGAGTGGCCTTTGTAAGAAAGGAAGGTTTCCTGCTGCCAAACTGCTATTATCGGAAATGCTTGAACAAAAAGTTCAACCTGATGCATACATTTATGCCACTTTGGTGGATGGTTTTATCAGAAATGGTGAACTTGACGAGGCAAAAAAAGTTTTTGAACTCACAATTGACAAGGGTGTGGACCTTGGAACAGTGGGATATAATGCCATGATTAAGGGTTTCTGTAAACTTGGAAACATGACAGACGCTCTATCATGCATCAATAGGATGAGAAAGGCGTGTCATGTTCCAGATGAATATACTTATTCAACAGTTATAGACGGATATGTGAAGCATCAAGACTCTGATAGTGCACTCAAGATCTTTGGCGTGATGCTGAAACAGAAATGTAAGATCAATGTGGTCACTTACACCACTTTGATCAACGGATTCTGCAGGAAGGCAGATTTGAGCAGAGCTGAAAATGCTTTCAGAGGCATGAACTCTTTTAATTTAGAACCTAATGTGGTCACATACACCATACTAATTGGGGGTTTTTGCAAGGTTGGTAAAATTGCAAAAGCAACGTCCTATTTTGAACTAATGCTGTTGAACAGGTGTCTTCCTAGTGATGCCACATTCCATTATCTGATAAATTGTTTAACAAATAATACAATTAGAGCAAGTTTTAATGAAGATGAGTCTAATGATAATGTCAAGTCCTTGATTTTGCATTTCTTTGCAAGGATGATTTCTGATGGATGGAACCGAATTGCTGCTGCTTATAATTCTATAATTATTTGTCTTTGTAAACATGGAATGGTTGATACTGCTCTATCATTGCAAAACAAGATGCTGGCTAAGGGATTCCTTTGGGATTCTGTAATTTTCGCTGCTCTACTGCATGGCTTAGGCGTACAAGGTAGGTCAAATGAATGGAGTGGTATTATATCCTGTGATCTAGAAAAGATTGATCTCCGAACAGCTGTTGAGTACTCTCTGGAATTAGACAAATTTCTATACCAAAGGGTTTCAGAGGCTTCATATATTTTGCAGGCGTTGGTTGAAGATTCAAGGTTTTCTGATCAACAAAGCCAATACATCTCAAGGTTATAATGTCATAGGGAGCGAGGGTATTTTATGAACGAAAGAAATCAGTTTCCTTGGCAGAATAATGGACGTGATTGTATTTGATGAGGTTTCCATTTGCTTCAGGAAATTGAGAAATATGGCCCTTTCAGGATCCTCATATACTTGATGATGGTACTCTATCAGAGATTGTGCCAATAATCCCAGTTGATAAACATTTGACGAACATACCTTTGATGGACTGACAGGTTTTTGACATTGTTTGTTCTCCAATAATTCAAAACACCAAGAAAGCTGCCAGCAACAGCAAAGAAATATTAAATCTGTTTTGTCTTGTGCAGGTAGTTTATTCATATACATACTAAATTAGTCTGCTTCATTCCCTTTACCAGTTTTGCCCTTCTAGAGAATAATTACACTGATTATCGAGGTTGACATTGAACATAACCGTTGTTTGTCTGTCACTTATTTGCTCAATTCTTCTATATTTAAATTTCCATATCAGTATTAAAATTCATCATTTGTCTTTATTTATTTTTATTTTCTCAGATAATCACCACTACCATATCATGATTACGTCACGAAAATTGGTTTGTTAACTTTCCGTTAGAAGGATCCAGGAAGGTCATATATGCTTAAATGTCCACTACGACTTTGTCAATGCAACAAGATTGCAGCCCTCAAGTTATCTAGGGAACGCATTTCCTTTGCCAAGCAAAATCTGATGTGGGAAAAACTGTGTTTTTTCCCTTTTCTTCGACACTTCAGCAAATTGATCCTGTTCCTGGCCAAGCTGTGCCTCTTTCTTTGCTACCGAAGTGAACAAGTTATCAGGTATGTCTCTATTTGACGAAGTACATTGGAATTGGTTTGCTGGTAGTAGTAGCCTGGCACAATGAGTTTGCCCTGAAGGGTTGTGCGTTTTTTCCAGGTTTGCCACAGTTGATGTTTTCTATGGTGGGGTCAATACAAAGGTTCACAAAGAACTGCAAAAAAAAAAAAATAATAATAAATAAAATGAACGCCCACCTTCTTGTCGTTTGGACACCTTGGAGGATATTGCTGTGGCTACAGATGAAGACCTTGGATTAAAGTACACGAGACATTTTGTTATTGTCTTGATTAGTTTGACCAGGTGCTTGTGTCACTTGGCATCTCTTCCCTTCTTTGTGAATTGACTCTGTTCGGGTGCATGTTGGTTTTGAGCTTGGATTCAAAGCCCTAATAATTTTATATCATTTCTGGATATAGAAAAAGGATTACATAATATCTTATTTGTTTATTCATATTTGTGAAATATATCTCCTTTGATCTTCGCAGATTTGAGAGGAGATGTGAACGAAATTTTTTTAAGGCTCATGATAAAAGCAAGTGATGTTTCCAGCTTATACTCATCGAAGAAATCCACCCTGTTGAGGTGATAATTCCAAATGTATGTCAATGTCATATATTGTGTAAAAGAATTTAATAAATGATTCATTTTATAACTTGCATTCATATATTTTATATTATATATTGATGCAGGCTCACATTTTTTTTTTTTGGCGAAGCAGGTTCTAAGTATGATCATTAGATCATAGAGAGTATCATTAGCCATCTAACAAGGGTCTTTTCAACAAAATTAATCATGTTAGTAAGAAATTGGAATATTATTTTCACATGCCATTTATAAGGAAGTCAATGAATGTATTAACTAGCCACTGACGTTAGTATTTCACTTTCTGTTAGCCTTCATGTGGGCTATCGCACATTGATGGATATCGATAAATAGAAAGTACAACTCACTTTAATTTTGTATGTTTAACATTTCAATTGAAAAAATAATAAAACAAAATAATTTTCCATAAAGGGAATGCATCATATCATCACATGCAACCAAGTGTCATCCTTAAAACCGAATTACAGTATCTGTTACGAGTCCGAGCATTACTCTTTCTTCTTTATCTTTGACTTAATACTAGCAACAAACTTAACAACTGGTATGCTCTGCCGTGTTTTAACGTCTACGGGATTTGACTTGAGAATAATAATTCCTAGTGACTAAAAACGATGGTACAAATTTTAAATTTTACAACCACATATATACACAGATATACATATAAAGGCATTTGATGATTTAAATAATACTCTCAAAGTCTTTTTATAAGGACAAATTGTTTAACTACTATAAATCGAGAAAGTTCAATAAAAATCATTAGTTAGAAAAGTCTGATTAATTACTGGAAGTTTTATAGTTGGTTTAGGTATACTAAATTAAAAATTAACAATTTCAACAAAATATATTATAAAATGTTATATTAGGAAAATTCTTACGAGAAGGACTGAGAGAGCAATCATTGAACTAATTCGACACCTTTTCACGGCTTCGGAGCTGTTATCACCAGATGTCAGAAGACTGACTACGATTGGCAAGATGAGAGCTGATATTTGCTGAAAGCCAAGTGTCATCACTTCTTAAAAACACAACAACGCATCCTCGCTATGAATAATGAAAAAGTGATCTCAACAGACAGCAAGAGGAATGAAGGATAGAGAACACAAAAACCTTTTCTAGGGGTAAAAAGGAAAAAAGAACAGAGAGAGAGAGAGAGGAATTTGGAACTAAATGTTCCGGGCTAGTCTGAAATGAATTCTATGGTTAGCTACTACATCCTAAGAACAAAAATGCAAGTCATCACACAGCATATCTTCACCAGATTCAGGGGAGCGTTTAACCCTCTTCATGCGCCCTGCTCCTCAATCTCTCCATTTTCACCATCTTCAGCAGCCGCGGCGGCCATCAATTCATCAAAGTTTTCGGTCTTCCCAAGTAATATTTCAATCTATAACAAGTTACAGTAAATGTCAGACTTTGATACAAAACCCAAGACTACTCAATCAGGACGACTAGGACATCCCAAAAGGATATGTTCTGGGGACAGCAACTAGTGTTTCCATCCTTACCTTGGCCTTCTGGACGGGTCTGCCTCTAGAATCATCCTTTATGTCAACAGTTGATGTCATGATTTCTGCATTATGATTCATTCACGAGTCAAATTCATTTTCCCAACCCTTTCCCATGAGGCTGATCAAAATGAGAGAGGAATGAGAGTAAAATTTCCCAAATAAGGAGGTGAAAAAGATAGTCTCTTACTCTTTTCAACAGCAAGCCCGTTGTTTTTCAAAATTTCAGCAACAGTAACCACTGTGGCAATAGCTGAAAATAAAAAGCAAAAAATAAATTAGAAAACATCTTGAGACATAGGGATGCTGGGGACAAAGATAATGCCAGAAAGGGGGAAAAAAAATACATCTCATTTTTGCAATGTTGTTTTACTGCCCCTAGGAAGCAAATGAACCGTCTGAATAAACAGGAGGAAGGAAGCAGATATATAATTAAAAACATTAGGCCTAGTGAGCTTCAGCCTTGAGCTTAAATAGGCATATGACAGGATACTCAAATCTAATTCCCTTTACTTATCTGCAACTCAATATAGAGAGCGTGTAAAACAATATAAGGATGATATAGCCCACCAAACAAAATAAGGATAACAAGGAGGAAATGAAAACAATCAGTGTTAATCATGTCTAGGGTCTAGACTCTCACCCTAGATTCAATATCGACTTTCATTTGCTCCATTTTCTTTTCCTTGTCGTTTTTTTCCCCAAAAGAGCCATAATGCCATATAGGCAAAACACTACTTCATGAATTCATCATCTTTTTAAAAGTTGATTTTAAGCAAAACGATTTTTCTTTCACATTACATACGCAATGAATTTACAATATTTCCAGCAGTACTAATCATTAAATTTTCTTCACATCCAATGCCATTTCAAGAATAAACTTTTTCACATTTAGAAACATCAAATACTTATACGGTAATGTCAGCTTTGCTCCACCAGCCCTTAAACATTTGAACATAGTCCCAATTAGCAATTACAAATTTACTGTTGAGCTGGCATTCATGTTCCCGTCACACATCCATCTGTTTTCATTTCCTTCAAAGCCCAGACACGCATGCTAAGTCTACATTCTAAAATAATTTCATTAAACGGAGCAGCTTTTAAAGTCATTATTTTAAAATTTTATCAATAAGCCAAGTGAGGAAGGAATGGGAAGAGGGAAACACCTTAGCAAGTTCTCCACTTCTTCCTTCCTAAGATCTGATATATACTTATCAATCAAAGCGTACTAGCCATATTCTGAATCTGTAAGTAACATGCTTTGATCACTTAAAAGGACATATTCATATTACTAACGACGTATTCCAAATATTCTCAACATCCGCATTCAGCACAAACATCTTATGACTTCTAATTCCCCCCCCCCCCCCAATTTAGAGGGGCAGACACTAATGGCTGAGGTTGGTTATAAGCGAGATTGAACCCTCAAATTCCTACTTGTAAGCTTTCATCCACTGGCCTACAAAGCCATTGGCAATGACTTCCAATAGTAATGCTCCAAAAGGTGACGTGCAGCAAAATAGAAAAGGAAAAAACAGAAAGAGCGAACGGTGGCCAAAAGAATATAAAAAGAATCATTTAGTTAAGATTTGATACCCATTCCAAGTGCTGACAACTCGACCTCATTGTGTTGTTGCATATACCTCTGCAATGAAAACGAAGTTACAGCCCAGCTAAAGAAAGCCAATGTATCCAATAAATGACTTAACAATACAAAAGCGTTCAATGTTTCCGAACAAAACGATAAATTGCCTTAAACACAGCTCTTTTAAGAAGGAAGATAATTGAGCGTTTATCCTTCATCCAACCACCAAGATTGAAAGATACTAAATCTCGACAGTCGAACTACGATTTGGAGGAAAGGAAACTTCCAGAAAAAATAACACCATTTTTAACCCTCCTGAAAATAAAATAAAAATAAAAAGTACCGACAAAAGCTGAAGATGCGCAGCTAACCTTCGCCAAATTAACGTAGAAGAAGAGGGGCTTTTTGGTATTAGAGACTTGGATACGATTCTTTTTGTACGAATCTGAAATATTGATGTTGTTTACACCCTCCGTGATGGCTTCCATTGCCGTGAACACAAATTGATGAACTTCAGAACCCTAACCTCTCTGCAGGCTTCTGAATATGCAAACCACACGAACTGCAGCCGGGGGAGGGGCCAAGGACGAAGCATAAGGCGCAAAGTGGTCCTCTATATGGACCGGGCCTGAACTGGTTCTCGGCCCATAATCTCATTCTCAGGCCCACTAAAAGATTTAAAAAATTAGTTGCATTCCTCTATCTTATTATAAATTTTACATATATTTAACTTAAGAGCTAATTCAGGAGTATTAAATTTAGTTTTAGATATAAGGAATTAATTTATTTTTGTCTCATAAATATATAAATTTTTTCCAAAACTCTATTAATTACACATATTAAGAATTCCTTATCAAGATGTAGTTTCAATGTAAATAATTAGAAAGGACAGCTTGGAAAAATTTATATTTATTATAAATAATTAGCTTAAATAAATTTTTTAATATTTTTAAATTAGTTATTGAAATCTATATTAATAACAGGAAGTGATATTTCATTATGTTGACTGATAGATACTGATATGAATTTCAAAAAAAAAAATTTAAATAGTGCATTTTTTTTTTTAAGTCACATACTCGTTATACCTTCATTAAAGGTTTAAACTCACAACCTTGCCTTAAAAAAAATTTAAGGCATGTGTTTGATGTCATTGAGATATAAAACCCTAATCATTTTTAATAGTTAGAATTAGAATTTTAGTTCCTGATACAACTTTTTATTAAATCAAATGCTGGGGGCGTATTAATTTTTGCCAGGAATGGATTTTTTTTCAGGGGGTGGCCCCCATGTTTTCTTTCCTTCTCCAAAAATCTAAAAAAGGCTGCGAATTTGAATTTGGAGATTATGGTTCTAAAAGTTGTCTCAATTAAGTTTAGCCCTCTCGTGTTGGACAAAGGAAAACACTTGGGCCCCACTCCTTAATAATTTCTGGATCCTTCCGTGGTTTTTCGGCCTTTTGGTTTACAATAATTTATCTGCATGTTTTTAGATAATTTAAATTTTAGAATATTGTTGCGCATCAAATTTATTGAAAAACATGTCATATATAAGACATAAATAGTACTCACTTCGAAGTTTATCATAAGTACCTTAACAACAAATTTACATTAATTAATTAAAATTAGCTTTTTCTAAAATATTAAAATTCATTAGTTAGAGGATTTTGATTAATTGTTTAGGAAGTTTTATAATTAACTAGAAATAATGAGGTCAAAAATTAATGATTTAAACAGAACATATCATTAAATTGTATGTGTTTTCATAATACGGACGGTGGAAGTATAATTTAAT